TTCTATTCTATTCTATTCTATTCTATTCTATTCTATTCTATTCTATGAATGCATCATTCTCTTTGTGTACACTGAGAGTATTTGCACCAAAGACAAATTCCTTGGCCAATAAATAATTCTATTCTGTTCTATTCTATTCTTTTTCTATATTCTATTCTATTCTTTTTTATTCTTTTTCTCTATTCTATTCTATAGTCTCTTCTATATTCTATTCTATTCCTATTCTTTTCTATTCATATTGGTATTGTTTTCTGATTGCTTATTTGTATCCTATGACTTTCATTAAGTATTGTAGTACCTTACGATTCCTGATGAATGTATTTTTATTCTTATGTACATTGAGAGAATCTGCACCAAAGTCAAATTCCTTGTGTGTCCAATCACACTTGGCCAATAAAGAATTCTATTCTATTCTTTTTCTCTATTCTATTCCTATTCCTATTCTAAATTGGCTTTTTCCCTGTTCAAAGCTACCTGCCTGTGGAACGAACCCACCACGCAGGATCTGCATGTGTTTGCTTCTTAGGGAAGGAGTCAAGCTCTTATTTTTCAAAAAATCTGGGTCTCTTCAGTTTAAATCAATTAATTGCTAAGGGAGTCCTCAACTTACGGCAACTGAGCCCAGAACGGAGGCTGCTATGCGAGGCATTTGTTAAGTTACTAAAACCTGGCTATTCCGGCAGGCCTGGGGCTCTTGAACTCATGAAATGAGGTCCAGCCCCGTCTAGATTGAGTGCATGAAGTGATCTTTTAATCTGTTTTTTCTTTCTATTTTTCTAATTTTTTTATTCTTTTTAAATATGTATTCTGTAAGCCTCCCGGAGTCCTTCGGGATTGGGCAGCCTATAAATTTATTAAAACCTTAAAACCTTAAACCTTAAGTGAGCTTCGTCGGATTTTTTTACAAATTCTCCTGCCACGTTTATTAACGGAATCGCTGCCGTCATTAAAATTAGCCAATGGGTTGCTAAGTGAATCTGGCTTCTCCTTCCACTTGGCTCGTCGGGAGGAGCCTCCCGACAAGGATGATTCCAGAAGGGATGGGAAATTAACGCACTGGAATCAATCACTACTGCAATGCGCTCTACATGGGGCAGCCCTTGAAGAGCATTCGGAGACTTCAACTCGTCCAGAACGCAGC